CCCATCTGCTGGAAGGAAGGAAGGAAGGAAGGAAGGAAGGAAGGAAGGAAGGAAGGAAGGAAGGAAGGAAGGAAGGAAGGAAGGAAGGAAATGATTATGCCTATGACCTGAAACTGTTAAAGAAGTTTGAACTTATTTGGAAAATTGTAGAAATGTTTTATGTATTTTAAAACATCCTTGTTAATGAATGGGGAATGTCTATGAGTTTTTTTTTAAAGACACTTTGAAGTAATCAGCAAAATGTTAAGCATAGTAAATACCTTCCCTGACAAAGAATCCAAGCACACAGCAGTTCTCTTCACAATGGCACTGCCTAGGCCCCTCTGCTTTCAATAGTCAATACCAACATGCACACAGCAACCCTGGCCCCTTTGCATTTTCAGTCAAAATGTTACTATGCTGAGCATACTGTTTTGTTTTTTTTTGCTGGAGGGGGGAAGAATGAACAGTAGGTTTTTGTTCTTGCGGCTGTATTGGGAACTGGCAAGAAAATGCATTTTCTACCAATCAGGATTTCCCAAATGCAGCTTTAAGCCAACATTCTCTCATCTATTGCTGCAGTGCAAATACAGAAGCTACACTTCCAACATTGGCAAAATTGCAGGGTATGGCCAAGATGGCACAAGCTCCAATGTTGCATAGTAAATGCCCCTGTTCTCCTGCCAAGGATCACTGGCCGGGCTCCACCTTTTTTGTCATCAATGCAGGGCAGAAATTGCTTCCTCATTTGCTCAGAGAGGACAGCCTTCAACTTTGGTAAACTTGTTCATTTTATTACAAGGGGCAAAACAGTTGCTGGAGGCATTAAAAGAAATATACAGAATTAAAAATAAGGAACAACATTCTTTATTTTTCAGGGATTCGGCATTCTCATAGCCTAGTTCATAAACACAGATTGCCATTTCTTGCCACACAAATCACCCCTGATTTCCCTCCAAGCCTTTTCATTTCAGCATGCAGAAGGGTGTCTGCAGGTGAAAGTTTGGGTTTGCCTCAGAAACATATTTTTCTTATTGCTATCAATGATATCAACAGAAAAAGATTTTGGGACCCCATTTTTGCAGAAGCAGGATGAAAGACCAGCTTGCCTAAACATAACATATTTAATTTACCACATTTACCAAAGTAATAGGCATTTCTGTCACTAAAGAGGAATACCACCCCATAACCCACGTCTTACAAACTGATTGAGCCCAGAGTCTTAAATTATTTAACTGCATCATTAACTGCTATTGTCTGAGCCTGATAATCCTACTAAGTTTTATGGCAATGATTCTCAACCTGTGGTCTGTGGACCCCTGAGGGGTTGCAGTGTCATAGGACAGAGGTCCCCAACCTTTTGGGCACTAGGGACCGGTTCCGTGGAGAGAGGTTTTTCCGCGGACCGAAGGGTACATGATTTTGTATGCTGCCTGCATCTCACGGATGGGGCTTTGCTTCTTTGTGTGGCCCGATTGCTGGCATGCTGAGGCCCGGTACTGGTCCACAGACCGGGGGTTGGGGACCCCTGTCATAGGACGTCCATGAAGGGTTGAAGAAGTGTTATAATTTAAATCTTGAGTTAAATCTTGGTGGTCCATCGCCACAAAAGGTATTAAAGGGGGTCCATGGTGAAGAAAATGTTGAGGACCACAGTTGTATGGTACTGATTCCATCTTCCTATTTCTGTTAAGCAAAAAGACAAAGATGAAGAAAATTGAGAAAACTCAGAAGAGCAAATATTATCTGGATCTCTTGCTAAATTTGATGAATAAGGCAGAATGATTACATAACGAAAGCCTAGCTTTGAATGAATTCCACTGGCCTACCACTAGATCTTGATCCATCTTCTATCTAACGCTGCCTATCTTATGATCTAACAAACCATCTTTTATTGCTTTAAAATCCAGTGAGCTATGGATTCTGTTCCTTGAAGACATTATCAGAATACAGTATCTCTTTGTAATTAAGAACATATTGTGAAAGCTATAGGTATTACTGTGACATATTGTGTATATTAACAAGATGTTTTTTATATGGATGCACACATATATATTGCTACTCTCCATTTATAACAGTAGCAGCTTTGGGGAGATAACCAAATACCAAGGAATTAAACACTAACATAATACAGTAGGCAAGTAACAAAGGACTGGTTTAAACTAATACTGAATTCAGATAGAAAATAATATAAAGTTTATCTGCCTGCCAATAAGTGTTCTTTCTGTTTTAGAGCGGGGTGATCTCTTCTTAAGGATCTTCAGTTTTTATTTGAATTAGGGAATTGAAAAATTGGGTAGTGTACTTATGTCAAATTTGTCCCTTGCAGGGAAAAATGCATCTCAACCACATTACAAATTTGCAGCCCTTGAAATACTCAGGTACCACAATATTTGTTAGGCCTTACTGCTATATAATATATTATGATTTCAATTTGATAAAATTCTGATTTGGCCCTCTCTGTATTTAAATTTTGAATTCTATCCACGATTGTTTTTGCTCATAGCTATAGATGATACCCTTGAATACCAATTTTCTATTGTTAAATTATCTAAAAATGTCCATGGTTGACTTATCATGCTCTTCCTCCTCTACTTCTGCTTCCTCATTACTGGAGGGGATGAATCTTTTACTCTTCCATCTATGCCTTTATTCCTTTAACTCTTTGTGAAATTCCTTTCTTGGACATTTCTGATAATTATTCTTACCAGTCGGCAAACTTTTTTGGGCAAATTGTAATGCCCAATATTTTAATATAGTGGTCTGGGAGGTAAGCAATTACTTAGCATGCTATCTTTCTTGTTGGTAGACACCCCCCTATATTGTCTTTTTTGTAACATGTAGAACAACTACTACGGTCTCTGGATGGTTCTCTAATGAGAAATTCCAGAACATTTTGCCATACTAGGACTGCACATGGCAGAGGAATCTGATTGCATTCTACACTAAGAAAACAATAGGTAAATAGTCTTATCTTGAGTAAAATGTCGGGGAGCTTTTGTAGACTTTTGTGAGGAATAATCTCAGAATATGTCCAAATGGGCAGATCCTATAGAAATGCCCAGGACTCAACCACATTCATTTACCAGGAAAGAGTTAGAACTGGTTGATGTTGAAGAAGTGGACAGAGTCCTCCTGATTTGTTAAGGACTGTGCAGGTAATGCCTCATTTTGAGGGGATACTGCTGACTACCTTGAAGGAGAAAATGCTGTATCCTCTTCTGAAGAGGCCCTCCTTGAACCCAAACATGTTAGACAACTTTCATCCAGTCTTCAACCTTCCCTTTCTAGACTGAGATAGACAAGCACAGAATGCAAGGCATTTAGTACATGATTTATGGAGCAGGATGCAACGACATCACTCCTTCTCTAACACATTCAGCAGCAGAGAGACCGCCAACATTGTGCAACAATGGTTACTAATATTCTGCTAAAGTTTGCTTCTTTGTAAATTTCATTTAATATTATTATTATTATTATTATTATTATTATTATTATTATTATTATTATTATTATTANTCCAGTTTCTTCTTAAAAACTTCCAGTGTTGGAGCATTCACCGCTTCTGGAGGCAGGTTGTTCCACTGGTTAATTGTTCTAACTGTCAGGAAGTTTCTCCTTAGTTCTAGGTTGCTTCTCTCCTTGATTAGTTTCCATCCGTTGCTTCTTGTCCTGCCTTCAGGCGCTTTGGAAAATAGCTTGACTCCCTCTTCTCTGTAGCAGCCCCTGAGATATTGGAACATTTCTTACCCTCTGCTGCATCTTGTGTGACAATCCTTGAAATATTGAAAAAATGGACAGCGCATCTCCTTTTAATCTTCTCTTCTTCAGTCTTGAATCAGATTACAATATTAATCAAAGTAGTATTGGACATCTTGACCACCTACTATGTAGTCCTCGACTTACAACAGTTCATTTAGTGACCTTTTGAAGTTACGGCACTGAAAAAAGTGACTTATGACCATTTATCACACTTACAACCATTGCAGTATCCCCATGGTCATATGATCAACATTCAGATGCTGACTCATATTTATGACAGTTGCAGGGTCCTATGGTCATATATCACCTTTTGCGACCTTCTGACAAGCAAAGTCAATGGGGAAGCCAGAGTCACTTAACAACCGTGTTATTAACTTAACAACTGCAGTGATTTATGTAAGCACTGTGGTAAGAGAAGTTGTAAAAAGAGACAAAATTCACTTAACAAATGTCTTGCTTAGCAATAGAAGTTCTGGGCTCGGTTGTAGTCATTAGTGGAGGACTACCTGTAATTTCTCTTTTCATCCCTGCAGTTTTTATATTTTAGTTTTTAATGTTCTAATTTTAAATAATGATTATTTTATATTTTTATGATTGTATTTATATAATTGTTGTATGCTACCGAGACACTTCGTGAGATGGGCACCTATACAAATTTGATTAATAATGTAACATAGCGTAACATTATTATATTACATCATTATATAATACATATTAATTATATAAATAAAATAATTATATAAATAAAATAATCAATTATTACATTATGTTACAGTATTATATGTTATGTTACTTTATATTATGTACATCCCTCAATGCCATTATTAAAAAAAGATAAATTGCATAAAGGCCAAGGAAATAGGATCTAACAGGCACCAGTTCTTGGGGAGGAGCACTTTCCATTTCAAATATTCAGATGTGAAATATATAGATTTAGATATATAGATACAGATATATAGATATACACATACATATATTTTTAAAGCTTCAATTCCTGCTAGAACAGGGGTCTTCAAACTTTATGACTTGTGGACTTCAACTCCCAGAATTCCTCAGCCAGCGTGCCTGGCTGAGGAATTCTGGGAGTTGAAGTCCACAAGTCATAAAAGGGCCAAGTTTGAAGACCCCTATGCTAGAAAGAGGGTTGTCTCCCCCCCAAGTGGTTTGACATTAACATCTGGAAGGCGCCAGTCCCAGAACTTGCCGCCGGGGAGGAGCTCCTGAGCCTGAGAAGGAAGGGGCGGTGCCGGCAGATCCGGACGCGTAAAGAAAACGCAAGGAGGATACAGTGGTGGCGACGGCGGTGCAGACTTGCCTCTGGACGGCAAGGGCAACATGGAAGTGTAAGATAGCGAGCGAGCTGGGCTTCTTTAGGTCAGCAAGACTTGCCCTCACTGAAGGGGTAAAAACGAGAGGCAGGATTACATTCAGACGCAGGGAAGAAAGAGAAACACTGGGCGTGGGTCTGAACTGCTGTTGCTTTCCGGCCATGCACGCACACGCGTTTCCCTGACTCGTTTAAAGCTCTCGCGGTTGCTTCGACCTCCTGCAAACGTGGCTCCTCCTCTTTGCCTGGCTGGTTTTTTTTATATAATTTTTTTTTTATAAAATGCTTCAGTGGGTTGTGCGAATGTGGCTCGTTGATTAATTCACCATTCATCTTTCTTGTGCAAGCCCTGGAAATGGGATCATTAGGGAACCAAATTATATATGTCGACGAATCCAGTTATTGCCTATAGTCCTTCAATATTGCAAGAGGGTGGAATAAGTTAAAGCCTCAATGCTGGCAACATAGATTGTCATTGCCTCCTAACCTGATTTGTTTTATTATTACTTCTTGGTGTTGCCTACAACCCATTTCTTATGGTCTCCAATCCAAATCCAGGTCTGACCCTGCTTAGTTTTTTTGGCGTTAGCCAAATTCAGTTGCTTACTTCTACCTGCTGTGATGGAGAATCTCTTGCTGGTCATACATATAACTACCCCCCCCCCCTTTTTTTTTGTCTGCGTTGCTTTCTTTTAATCCAGACTTGTGATCTATTTTGTTACTTGAGAAGTTTGGGAGGATGTATAGGAGGAAAACAGTTTTCTGTATGTGCGATCATATTTGTATATTTAAATGGGTACACACTGCTCTTCTATGCATTAATGAAAATACACAAATACAATAAAACTAACAAACCCCTTGTAATAGTATCTTATGCAGTTTACACATTAAAAAGTAATTACTATATCTCCAAGAGTAAATCCCAGTTAATTTAGTGGTGGTTGCTTGTTCCCTTGCAACGTTATATTGATAGGCAGGCTTCTGGGAGAATAAGATCCAATAAAAATAAATATTGATAGGATTTCAGTGCAGTTTGATAAGAAAGTTCTGATTGATAATTACCTATAAATTTATACACGTCATTGGTAATCATGCAAGCAGAAATATATATATGTTACTGTTGTTTTATTTGATTATTTCAAATTAATTAACGAGTAAAAAAATAAAAAGATAGATTTGGTTTCGGTGATTGTTCCTAGAATAGGGCATCAGTCTAAGGGCACACATTGGTTCTCCAAGGAGTTCTGGAGCTGACGTGCCAGAAGAGATATCTAAAAGTCATTGGAATCAGTTGGAGAAAATGAATAATGAATCTGACTGAAGAGTGCTCTCTGAACTTGGTTGTTCTTTGCAGATGTTTCATTAACCAGACTAGGTAGTATCATCAGTATGTTGGGGATTATATTGTGGCATTAAGAATGGCAAAACATTATTTTTCTGCTCTTATTATGTCTGGATAGTCCCCACCCCTGGCAACCCTGTTTAAAGTGATTGTTTCCTGCTGGGGAAAGACAAGTTGCTGGACCATCTACGGGGCCACTGTGAAGAATATTCTAGCTATCTGATGGATATAATCAGTGGATTCGCTTGGAGTTGGATTCTGACTTTTGAGGTGCCTGAGACATTGTCTTGTGCGTTTAGATGAGATGAGCTAATGACTCCAAGGAAGTGGACACAGTCTTTGAGATGATCCTCCTCCTGGCTTGTGAAGGCTACTTAGGAAGTGACCTGTTCTTGGGTCTACCATGTTTCCCTGAAAGTAAGACCTACCCTGAACATAAGCCCTAGCTTGATTTTTGAGGGTGGGCCTAATATAAGCCCTACCTCAAAAATAAGACCTAGTTTTGGGGCGAGATGCATGCCTAAAAATCAAGCTAGGGTGGGGATGGAGCTTACCGTTGCAGCCAGGCCGCCCATGGATTGACACTCGCCGACCCATTTTTTCTGTGGCTGAAGGAGCAGCTTCATTCTGTAGCTGAGAATGGAGTTCGGGCCTGCATTTTGCAGTCAGAGGCCTTTCTGGAAGGCCTCTGCAGCCAAGAACTGAGCTATGGTGCTGCTGCTGTGAGGTGAGTGGAAAAGACCCCGACCCCCCAAAATAAGACCTGGTGCCACTTTTGGAGGCAAAAAAATAAAATAAAATAAAATAAGACTGGGTCTTATTTTTGGCAAAACACAGTATGTGATTATGTCATCCTCCTTGAGGGAAAGGGGCAGTCCGCCAGTTTTGAAAGAGGAAGGATTGTGCTCCCTTCTCAAAAAGACATTGCTGGACATAGTGGTTCTAGACAATTTAGGCACACTTCAATCATCCCTTTTTGAGAAAATTGCTGAGAAATGGGTTTGCAGCTCCAAGGATCCACGAGGGAACAGATTATCTGAAGCCTTTTCAATTAGAGTTAAGACAACAGTGATAACTTTACTTCTAGAGATGAGGTATATACCATCCTGGTTGATCTTTCAGCTGCCTTTTGATATCATAATATTTGATTCATAAAATCCTTCTGGACCACCAAGAATATTAGTTGTGAGGGGCACCATTCTTTTGCTGGGGGCATTCCAGTCTGTGCTGATTTGGGGGAAAGATTGTGGCTGAGGCCCCTAATGTGTGGTTGCCACAGGGCTCAATGCTCTCATCCCCCCTTTAGATGAGGAGGGCCTTCATCCTGTGTGCTAGCTGACCACATTCCTGGCCCCCTAAGTAGCCTTCACAAGCCAGGAGGAGGATCATCTCAAAGACCATGTCCACTTCTTTGGAGTAATCTAAACCCACAAGACAATGCCTCAGGCACCTCAAAAGTCAGAATCCAACTCCAAGCAAATCCACTGACTTTATCCATCAGATAGCTAGAATATTCTTCACAGTGGCCCTGTAGATGGTCCAGCCGCTTGTCTTTGTAGTGAAAAGTGAGATCTATGGTACAAATGGAGGGGAATGACTATTTCTTACAGACTGATCTTTAGATATGCATATTTCTTTAGAAACCCCACAATTCCTTGTTCATATCCCTAGTAGGTGTAGATTACATTGTAGCCAAAGAGAGGAAAATATCAACTTAGCATTATGCTGGCTTTCGATGCAGTGATAAAGATGGCAAAACATTTTTAAAAATTCATGTTCTATCCAGCAGACAAGGTCATGGGCCAAATTACCTCTTCAAGTCTTCTGAAACCATGCAACATTTGTTCTAAAGTGAGTCAACCCACTCATCTCCCATGTTTTGGGTCCATTGAAAATAATTCTCTTTGGATCTGTTATCCTTTTTTATTATTTTTTCTTAACAATAGTTGTTGGGCACGGGGACTCAGAAGAGATTTCTCCGGATGCATATGGAATGCAAAGACCTTCAAAAGAATTAAATATCTCCACCAACAAAAGAGAATATATATCGGTCAACAACAACAAAAACACTTTTCATGAAATGATTGTGTGCGTCTGTGTATGAACATAATTGCTGTAGCTTTTCTTGTATCCACACAATGCAATGAGAACGCCAACTCAGCATATTTTCAGAAGGGGCTCTCTTTTCTCATCCACTCAACCAGTACATTGTAAAGACAACATTAGAGCCTATGGAAGTTTGTGGAAAAGGTGTTGAACTTGTTTGAAAGTGATGAGTGTGGTGGTTCTATTCAAGCAGTTGGCTGTGCTTGACATAATGCATTGTATTTTTTAAGTATGTTGCAATAGGGGACCTGAAAACAGTGTCATTCCCTTCCGTTGTAAATGCTAGTGATATTTTCTGCTGTCTATCTGTCCAGCTGTACTCAGTGTCCCAAGGATGTATAGCTTTCATTAGTTTGTAATAAGCAAATGTCATTTTTTAAAAAAGAAATCTTGATTTTTTAATTCATTTTCTGAAAATAAAATGAGTTTATTTGCTGTTAATTGGAATGTAGTTTAATAGAAAACAAGAGCAGGCAGGTCTCCAACGAGTCCTTGTAAGCAGATTTGGTTTCAATAGTCTGTACAAGTTATGACACACTTATTCTTAGTTCCAGTTTAAGTGCAGTTTTTAAAATGATTTGTAAGTAAAACCCTTTCTTACATTAAGCTCTGTGCCCATGTTTCTTTCAACTTTTAGAAGAAAGTTATGGCTTTTAAGGTGGCTTCTCCATGCTTGTCCTGTTAAAGTATCATTGTACTTTCAATCTCTTTGTATTTTCTTTCCATAGGAAAGATGGAAATGCAGCCCTTCTCAGCAATTATGAGGTAATGTGATTTGTACTGTTCTGAAAAGTTATATATAGGGTGAATTTTGTTTTCATGATGATATTGTAATTCAGTAGATCTGGATGGCATTCAAGTTAGGGAAGTTTGTTTTTCTAGAAGTCAACTTGTTCTATGTCCTTTCACCATTATCTGAGGTTGCAGTTAATGGGCATGAGGACACCATGTCCTTCATGATGGAGCCTAGGTTAGTAGTATAAGTGTTCTTTACTAGCCAATCCTTTTTATGTTTGTTCATGTATTTCCTTAATTGGTGTCTCCTCTTCTCATTTATTTCCTTCTTAAAAGACTGACAGCTCTCTCTGCCATGTGTTTAATAATGGAAAAAACAAAATTATAGAGTTACTGTTACATAACAGGAATTATAAGACACCTTGGGAAATCTACTGTTGAATGAAAATAAATTCTGTAAATAAAAATTTGTACTTTCGTGATGTTAAAATACAACATTCAAAATGTATCCACTCCAGTGATAAATAATTGATTTAAAGGGTAGCCATAAAAGGAGGCTGGCCATAATTTAAAATGTAGTCATAATGGAGGGTTGCTCGATTGTGCCAGATGAATTACAGATCTGAAAAGGGCTGCTGACTTCCTTTGTTTAATAGTGATGACAAAAAGCTCTTTTCTTTGAAATAAGCTGAAATCAAGAACACTTAAAACACTAGCAACAGATTGTAGCAGTGTCAAGCTCCAGTTATACTCCTGAAAGAAAATCTTCAGCTGAATACATTCTTAGAGACTTCTTTTTCTGCATTTCGTCTGCACTTAATTGATTTATGGGGAGGCTAGTATAACCTAAAATAGGTTTCACTAGTCCAATGGTGGCGAACCTATGGCACGGGTGCCAGAGGCGGCACTCAGAGCCCTCTCTGTGGGCACGCACGCCGTCGCCCCAGTCCTAGGCCTTCAGCTGGGTTTTATAAAACCTTTTCGCTTTAGGCCTCCGCCGCCGTGTACAAAAAAAAAAGGTTCAATCGATCAGTCAATTTCAACTTCTCATGGGGAAAAAAAAAGATCTTGCAAAGTTGGAATTGATTGATTGAACTTTTTAGTCCCATCCAGTCTGCCGTTACCACCACAGCCACACCCACCCAATGGGCCACGCCCACCTGGCACCCGATGATGCATAAGTGGGTTTTGGGTCGCAGTTTGGGCACTCTGTCTCTAAAAGGTTCGCCATCACTGCACTAGTCTAAAGCCTGTAGTAATTTGAGTTTAAATATTTGGAAACTAACTGGCTTATTGGAAAGGATTTTCCAGTATCTCCTAATATTTATTTATAGGTATTTAATTTATATAAAAAATGTATATGGCCACCTACCTTATATACAATGACACTATGTAATGGTATGTAGGAATGACCTTGAGAAACAGGAGGAAGAGCCCAGACTAGACAACTATCAAATAAGAAGCAGCTGAGCCAGTAGAAGGAATGAGGGCCTGGCATATATCTCAGAAAGGACCCTACTAAGTTTCTTGGATTTTAAAGATGACGGGGAAGAGATATTCTTTCAGACTTGCAAGATTCTGTTACTATAATTTTACCATAAGTTAGAGCTAGAACTTCTGGACTTGCTTCTTGCCTTGAGTATCTGGCAAGGCTGATACCCTGGGTGACTCACAGGGACACAATAAAACACAAAATAACCACAAAACCAGCATAAAAATAACTCCAGGCCCCAGAAAACAAAACTCACCCAAATCTCTGCATCCACATTTATTGGGCTCCAGCTTCCCCTTAGCCCAACATTTGGGGAAAGAGCCACTTATTTAAGGCCTTCCAGAAGGCTAGATGCGTAGGCGCATGCCATATCAAGCATTATTAATGCAAATTACCCAGAGCCACTTAGGTGAGATGGGGAGTGTACAAATTTGATAAATAAATTAAAAAATATTTCAGGGAGGAGGGTACTTTAGTCCTCAAGATGGCCTTTTACCACATTGCTACTTTAAAGTAGTATTCTGCCATATGTTCCTTCAAAGTTCTGGAGATGTTTAAAGCTGTTTTCTCTTTCCCAGGTCTACAAATTGCTGACTGATCTGAAGCGGCGGTGCCAAGAGCCTGGGAAAAGTAAGCAGAGTGTTGGCCAGCAGAATCTGAACACAATCACATATGAAGTAAGTAAAGAAATGAGGAAAAATCTTGGGCTTTATTGCGTTTTCCCTCTCCATCCCACTTGCTTACTTCCATGAACAAGAATCTTTTACAATCCTGCTATCTATTAAAAGAACGAGAAAAAAATTCAAAGGAGTAACACAATTCATGGCCCAAACTCACCTCACAGGGTTGTTATTCTGGGGAAACTAGGAAGAGGAAGACATGGTGGATATGTTCACTGCCTTGAATTATTTTTATAAATAATAAGGGCGGGATGCAAATACCGGTAAATAAAAATGATATATATTAGTGAAATAATTTTCGTACTTTTTAAAAACACTATTAACTAGCAATATAATAATAATACAGGTCATCCTTGACTTACGGCCACAATTGAACCCAACATTTCTGTTTTTTAAGTGACAATTTGTTAAGTAATTTTGCCCCATTTTATGATCTTTCCTGCCACAGTAGTTAAGTGAATCACTGCAGTTGTTAAGTTAGTAACACAGTGTTAAATTAATCTGGCTTCCCTATTGACTTTGCTTGTCAGAAGGTTGCAAAAAGTACATGACCCTGGAACATTGCAACCATCATAAATGCAAGCCAGTTGCTGGGTATTCAAATTTTGATCACATGACCGTGGGGATGCTGCAATAGTTGTGTGAAAAATGGTCGTAAGTCACTTTTTTCAGTGCTGTTGTAACTTTAAATGGTCACTAAATGAATGATTGTAAGACCAGGACTGCCTGTAATTATTTAATAAGTGAATAAAAATGCCAATTCCAGTCGGAACATTGGCTGACTGTGCGATGGACCATAATAATCTCCTATAGTTCTATTAATCCATCCATCACAACATTTCACTTCCTCAGCCTTATTATCATATTCTCTGATAATTTTTCTTGTCCCTTTTATATTTCCTCCAGCTTTAGTGACATGCCTTATCAGATGGAGATTATTTTACTATCTAAGACTGTCTGAATTCCTAATATGGTTGAAACTTTTGCTGTGAATTTTGTTCAATTTTCCTTAAGATTTAAAAAGTAGATGGCAATGGAGCATCTTTCCACCTCCCCATCCCAGTCAGATCGTGCTGCTAAAATCTGGTTGCAAAATATTTAAAAAATAGCAACATGACCTTTTAAATGAAATAAATAGGAGCTTTGTAAAGCTCATTGCTCTTGCTGCAAAAAGAACCACAAAGCAAAACATCTTGACTCTACACACCCACAGTAATAATATCATTTGCAGCATTTGAAACCAGGAGAAAGAAGTGTTACCCCCAACTGAAGATGGCCTGCTACATTGCAGTGGGAATAATATTAAACATTTCTTTTTCTTTCTAGACATTGAAATACATATCAAAGACACCATGTAAGTTCCAGAGTCCTGAGATTGTAAGAGATTTCCTCATAGCACTGAAAAATCAGAAGCTAACAAAGTAAGTTATAAATTACACCATGCAACAATGGATTAGAATTATTTGCTTTGGATTAGATATATCCCAACTATTCATAGTAATATTGCTGAATCATTTCAGTTCATAAAAATATTTTTAGTTCAGGCCAGGAGATCCCCTGGTGGTAGGGAGCCCGTAAGTCAGCTGCATTATGTGTGATATTCTCCCATTTGTGATTTTCTTTTTATCTATGTTTACTGTTTCCATTGGTTTTGTAGTATGTTTTAATAGTAGATGCTATTATACGCTGCCCCACATAAAGTCACTTTGTGTGAGATAGGTGGCCATATAAATGTGATAAATTTCTTATTTATGGAAAATTCCGAATAGCAGTTTCCTGCAATAATATTCAAAATAAAACAGTATTTAATCTTATAAAAATGTACTATATCTAAGTTGAAAATTACATTCAAGGAAGCCTAAATAAATACTCAATACTTTCAAATATGAGACAGCATAAGTCCTTACTTGTTAGTTAACTTTTGCAAAAGTAGTAATTGCTGTATCAGAAAAGACTTTATGAAGGAACATAAAATGAATTTGTCAAGATTGTGGATTTGGTTAATGACAGGATTTCCATCACTAAGTGATGTGGTCACACTATACCTTCATCAGTTAACGATGGGAATATTTATTAAATTATTTAATAGGTGAGCTGGGGTTTTAAGTCTATTATGTAATGTTTATTAAATATTTTACTTGTTAAATTTTTATCCAATGTCAAGTTTAATTTATATTTGTAACTTGCTTTTGGGCCTTCTGGCTGTAAATAAAATTGATTGATTTAAATTAATATTAATGATTAATAGTAAACAGAAGGACTGAAGTGATATTTGCCTGATTGCATCATTGCTATCCTTCTGACCTTTCCAGCAGATGGAAAAGCCTGTATAAAAGCATCGAGAGAACGTATGGCTCTCCATTTCCAGTTTATGCTATCGAAGAGCCTATCCAGTGGTGGGATTCAGCTGGTTCGCACCACTTTGGCAGAACCAGTAGTTAATTTTTTGTTGCCCAGGCCCAGAATGGACTTCCTGAAGTGGCATCCACACAGAGAACCGGTTGTTCACATATTTGAATCCCACCACTGGGCACATCATATTATACCTTCATGTTTACAGAGTTAGGTATCCATGGTTCTATTTGTGTTTCTAAAACAAAAACTCCTAGAAGCCTCAGCTTGCTTGGCCAATGCTAAGTGATAGTAAGAGCTACAGGGAACCACATCTGAAGGTTGCAAATTCTCCATCTGTATTTACAGTGCTCAGTTATACATGTTGGGCTGCCTTCCAGGTTCTATAGAGCTTAAATCAGTAGTTGGTACCTCTAGATGGCGCCCATTGACAATATAATTGTTATAGGAAGGCCCGCTCTCATATGAGATCTTAAAAATATCATTTTTTCCTTTTTTTAAAAAAATAATATTTTTATATATTTTTTATTTGCTGGCTGGCAATTTGGGGCATTGTAATCTCCATATATCTGGAGGAGGTCAGAGTGGAGAAGGTTGATGTATATAGTGCTTTATATTATTTAGCAACTCTTTATGGGTAGGCCAATTTTTTTGTGGGGTCCTTGGTGCTTTCTGAGCTTAGTTGTTTTCTTGTAGACATTTCATTACTAAACTAGGTAACATATCATTATATTACTCCACTCTTCTATCAATAATTTTCTCCCAGACAGCTGATACAACAACAACAACAAAATAAGACCATTGTGTCTTCAACTGTCATGTCATATTTACAGGTACTTCCAGTATTTCAGAGGTAATCCAGATATTCAGGTTGATATAGATGAAAACAGGTTTTGACACCTTCAAAATAACATCTCTAGAAATCAGAAAACAGATATAAGGAGGCATAGCATCCTTGTTATATACTGAGGGCCAAAATGGAGCAGCTAAAATGAAGCAGCACTCACAGTATTAGTGAGAAGGAAATCACAGTGTGATGCAGCTACTAAAAAAGCAAAAGCTATTTTTGATTGCAATAATAGGAGCACAGGGTCCAGAAGACAAGACATAATTGTTCTATTCTATGTTGCCTTGGTCAGCTATCATGAGCTTGTCATTGGTATTGTTTAGAAGAGAAACAGATTGGAATGAGTTCAGAAGATGACTAAATAATAAGACAAAGTTCCACTGTTAAAGAAGCTGTGTGGGTTTGGCCTATGGAAAAGATAAGTGAGGAGAAGTATTGAACAGTAACATACTTAAAATGTTTGAAGAAAAAAAAGGAATGCATTTACTCTGTATTGCCTCAGAGAGCATGACTAGAACCATTAGAATAAAACTGCAAAAACGTAAATTCAGGCTGAACTTCAGGAAGAACTTTCTGATTTCTGCCACGTGAGAAGATTTTTTTCTCCTTTGCTAGAGGTTTTCAAACAGACCGTGGATGCTCATCTATTAAAGATGCTAGAAGAGATCCTGAACTGAGCAGGGACTTGATGTTATTATTTATAAATTCAATATATATATGGCCACCCATTTGTCATGTGACTCACGGGTAGCTAACAAAAAGCTACAAAGAACAAATAATAAGTTAAAAAATTAAAACATATTGCACTGAGAAGAGTTCATAACCTCCTAATCCTGTGCTGGGGCGGGGGAAGAGGCATTTTCAGAGAGAGATAAGGTTGGGATCAGTGGTGGGATTCAAATATGTGAACAACCAGTTCTCTGTGTGGATGCCGCTTCCAGAAGTCCATTCTGGGCCTGGGCAACAAAAAATTAGCTACCGGTTCTGCCAAACTGTTGTGAACTGGCTGAATCCCAGTAATTCAGATTTGAGATAACCAAGCCACAAATGATATTACAGCCTCCTAATCTGGGAATGGGTGCAACTGATACACAAAATGGATTTGTACAAAGGGCCTCTGAGCTATTCTTCAAGCAGAAACCATGACTGGTTTTGTTTAGTCACTGCAACCCTGTCAAGAACCAAAGATGGAAGATTTCCAAAACCTCTAGCCCTAAAATCCTAAACCACTTGATAAGCCTAAATGTGCCCTCCCCCATCCAATCAGCACAACCACCCGAAACTGAAATAGAATCTTAAAAGCATTATCTGGCCAGCCTAGGATAAGATATGCAATGCATTCAGAAAGTATTCAGACCTCCTTCACTTTTGTTATGCTGCAGCCTGATTCTACAGTTGTTGAAATTCATGTTTTTCTCATTAATTTTCACTCAGTACCCCATAATGACAAATTTTAGAAATGTCTGTAAGTATATTAAAAAGAAAAAACTGAAATATCACATTGGCATAAATATTCAGAGGCTTCACTCAGTACTTTTTTGAAGCACCTTTGGCAGCAATTACAGCCTCGAGTCTTTTGGGGTATTACGTGACAAGCTTTGCACACCTGGATTGGGAGATTTTCTGCCATTTGTCCTTGCAAATCCTCTCAAGCTCAGTCAGGTTGGATGGTGACTGCCAGTGGACAGCCATTTTCAGAGATGTTCAACAGGGTTCAAGTCAGGGCTCTGGCTGGGCCATTCTAGGACATTCACAGAGTTGTTCTTATGCCACTCCTGTGTTGTCTTGATTGTGTGCTTAGGATCATTATCATGTTGGAAAGTGAATTTTCGGCCCAGTCTGAGGTCCTGAGCACTGTGGAACAGGTTTTCATTGAGGATATCCCTGTACTTTGCTCCATTCAGCTTTCCCTCAATCCTGACCAGTCTCCCAATCCCTGCTGCTGAAAAACACCCCCACAGCATGATGCTGCCACTGGCATGCTTCACTGTTGGGATGATATTGGGCAGGTGATGAGCGGTGCCTGGTTTCCTCCAGACATGATGTTTAGAATTGAGGACAAACAATTCAATCTTGGTTTCATCAGACCAGAGAATCTTGTTCCTCAATCTGAGAGTCCTTCAGGTGCTTTTTTGCAAACCCCAAGTGGGTGTTCATGTGTTTTGCACTGAGGACAGGCTTCCGTCTAGCCACTCTGCCATAAAACCTAGATCAGTGGAGGCTGCAGTGATGGCTGTCCTTCTGGAACTCTGTTCCATCTCTACACAGGATCTCTGGAGCTCAGTCACAGTGACCATCAGGTTCTTGGTCATCTCTCTTACTAAGGCTCTTCTCCCCCAATTGCTCAGTTTGATCAGGTGACCAGTTCTTGGAAGAGTCATGGTTATGCCAAACTTCTTCCATTTGAGAATTATGGAGGCCACTGTGCTCTTAGAAACCTTCAATGCAGCAGAAATTTTATTGTAGCCTTTCCCAGATCTGTGCCTTACAATAATCCTGTCTCTGAGCTCTGCAGGCAGTTCCTTTGACCTCATGGCTTTTGCTCTGCTACAGAATGCATTGTCAGCTGTGAGGCCTTCTATAGAGAGGTGTGTACCTTTCTAAATCATGTCCTATCAATTTAATTTACCATAGGTGGACTCCAATCAAGATGCAAAAAAATGTCGGCAATGATCAAGAGAAATGGGAGGCACCTCAGCTAAATTTCAAGTGTTGTTACAAAGGGTCAATGTGATATTTCCATTTTTTCTTTTTAATAAATTTACAGACATTTGTAAAATTCTGTTTTCACTTTGTCATTATGGATACAGAGTGTAGATTAATGATAATAAATGAATTTCAACAACTGTAGAATCAGGCTGCAACATAACAAAATTGACAAAAGTGAAGGGGGACTGAATACTTTCTGAATGCACTGTATAACTAGATAACGTCAGCATACTGATCATATCTAGGCTCATGTCAAAGTTGACCCCACTCAAGAAGAGAGAAAAGAATTGAGCTCTGAGAAATGAAACCAACCTTAGAAGGAAAATCACTTCTATGTCTCCCACTCTCAACCCTGAAACAAAGGCTGGATGATACCATTTATTTAATCAAATAATTCTAGCAAGGTTACTTGGGGATGGTACTGAAAGCTGTTGAGAGATCAAAGTGGGACAGGATGGATGCAGAACCTGAATCCTGTTCCCATTATAGGTCATTAATGTGTAATCATGCCATCTCAGTAATGTGCCAAGGCCTGGAACCTGACTGGGAGGAATACAAATAATTTTCCCTCAAGACCCTCTGAAGCTGCAGCCCAACTTCTGTCTCAAATGCTTTCCCCAGAAAAAGAAAGTTGGAGAAATTATCCAGCTTAGTTTGGTCCAACAATGAGTACTTGAGAAGAAAATGTATCTTTGCATCCTAACCCCAGGCATAACTATCATTTCACTCAAGAATGAATGTCCCACCTCTTGGATTCAACCACACATTGTCTCCCCACAGACCTTAACCAGTTTGGAAGAACATGGATCTAATATACAACCCTTTGGACCCTTTCCACTTCCTTAGGACCAAGAAAGTAAAATTTCTCTCAGATCAAGCCAGACTATGCTTAACTCAATAGGACCTGCACAGTTGGAATTCAACTCAGGGTGGATTTGAATGATTTCCCTTAACAGATGCCTTGAATAATCTTCAGAGCAGCCTATCAGACAATCTTCTGACTCATCTCTCCTAAGAGGGAGTGAGTCACTTTGTATAGGGTTCCTAGAAAGCAATTCATGGGCACAATAAAATGGGGGAAATAAATATATTTTACCCCTCTTTATTGTATACACCTTAATAAAGGCTCTTCCCTATGTTTGATTAAGCTCTTTGTTCTTCCTCCAACAGCGCTGTAGGCATCGCTTTCTGCTATTTCATCTCTATTCTGAGTTGTTACACCATAATTTAAATTCCTGAACTCCCTTTCTGTCTTTTAAAAAAAGCCCAGACATATACAAGTATAGTAGTAATTATAAATTCATCCTTGGTTATGTTTTCATTTAGCTTAAATGTTGTTCACAAAAACTTAATTTTATAACTAACTAATGGTTGAAAAAAAAATAAACTGGTTTAAATAATAGTTTTACACAAAAGTGATCAAATTTCATCCAGCTGTTGATACCAAATAAATTGGACATCCCTGACTTCTGCCTGTCTTGGTAACCAAGGATGTGAAATTGGCACTTGATGGTTTTATTGTGCCGCAAAGGATTTTGAAATATGTTTTCAGCCCTTTGGGACCATCTAAGGAAACAAGCTTTTGAAATCTGGGTTCAGAAAGAGCAATGGGTTGTGAATGTTCCTAAACAAAGGGTCACTGAGGGTTTTAAAACTTACAAACCAGCAAATTCCAATGGATTACAGATGTGGGCATGGCAATTTTCAAGCTCCCAAATTATTTGATTCTTGACTGCTGTAGTTCTAAGGCCAGGCTGCAAGTAAGACACTGAAGTAAGTTGGATGTTCTGTGGACAAGGTTTGTTATGATGTGGACTCATTCCTGTGACCAGAATCCCTAAATTATATATATTTATGTCCTTTGCTTGGGTACAGGGCAGAAAAATTGCAACTACTCAACCACAGGCCTGCAACTGCTGTTGAAATCCAGCTGGTAAGTTACAAAGCTACCTTCTGAAACATTGGTTTGAACATAGAAAATCAGTCAAGGAGATCTCTCAACTTTCCAATAATGGTGGGATTGATATCATTCTTGTCTGGGTATTCTTTTTCTTGCTTTTGACCATATCCTCAGCCTGTTTTATTGTTTACTCTGGCTGTGAAGCGGTTGCAGTAGCAACTGCACAAAGATACATTTGATGGGATGAAATTATAGACAGTAGGATCCAGGTTCATGTGAGCTTTACCTGTACAGATACAGTGGAAGGGCTGGGAAAGGTGGGAAAAGTCAACAAAGAATAGCAGCTGCCAGGAGGAGTTACTGCTATTGTTAGCAGTATTGAAATTCTGTTGTTTTGTATTCATTTTATTATAAAAAGTTTGTTATTTCATCTTTGATTATGTATTGTAAACTGCCCTGGAAATATATTAGAAGACTGGAATGTAAGTTATTATAATATATGTAAATATATTATGTAAGCCACCCAGCTCATTGAGAATGATTTGGGCAGCCATATCAAGAAATAAACAAGAAGCCATAGAAGAGTGCTGAAGCAAAGTAATTATATCTAGGTTAAATGTAAAAATAAAATGGTCAGGAACGGACTGTATTTTTTGGATATTTGTGCAAACACACGTAAAATAGCTACTTAGTTTTATAAGGAGAGATTGTATCTTATACACAATAGAAGTCCAAATATGACAGAAAGCAGGAAATATGTACAATAAAATCAGGTTATCATGGAAACCAATCTATCTAGAAGCTAGGTTGATTCTGACAACCAGTTTTAAACCATCTATGTGTTCAATTAATTAACATGTCACCAAATCCACACTTTACTAACTTAATTCGAATTTTGTGGAGTGCTTTGTCACATTTTTTTGTTGAAATCAAGGTATACTATATGTACAGTATTCTCTGCCATCTCTGAAAATTGTTGTCTGATATAAATGAGTTTCTGCTATTTTATCTTCTGATAGATAGCACATTTTAAAATTAAATTTCTACTGAATAATCTATTCATTATTGATTCTAGAATTTGTCTGCTTTGATGTTCTGCCAGCTGGTCTGTAATTTCCTAGATCCTCTTTTGTTCCTTTTTTGAAGATGGGAATCTTCTCCTTTTGGTACTTCACAGGTTCTGGTTTTCTCAAGACTCATAAAGATTTGACAAGACCATCAGAAAATTCTTTCATGCTCTGTATTTCGTCTGATCCTGTATTTTGTCTGATCCTCATGCAAAGTAAATATAAATATGGTCCCACTCTAACCCTGGCCTTTTATATTGTCCTGAACAGCTGTTTAGTTCTTTTGTCATTGAAGAAGCATGAGAAAAAATATGACTTTAACTCTGTTGTTCCTGTATTATCTGTTATTCCATCTTCACTTCAGCTAAACATACCAAGTTCCTTTATCTACTTTTCCTAAAATTTAGTCTCCAAGCCCCTCACTATCTTTGTTGCTCTTCTCTGCACTGAATTTGTATCTGACAGTTCTGAGGATGAAAATAGACATTTTATGCTTTTCCTGCATTCCCCATTTTTAAATACCTTTTTTTTTAGAAATTCATACTGTTTAAGCTCCTTTTCCCATTAGCTTCTCTGATCACAAATTCCCACTTACCATTATTCTGAATTATTAAAATGTGCAAAGTTCAAAATACCCAGTCAGTTAGATAAAGTTCCTTTCCTTTAATCATTATCTCCAGCACTACGTGGTCACTTTCTCTCCAATATTTCTCTGTTTATTTTCCATCTCTCCCGCCCCCTTCCACTTCCCTCTCCAGGCTGCATCATTCCATGCTAACAAACCTTTGAGAGCTGCATAGTCAATGGATATTGACTGATACATCCTTGAGAGCTGCAGATTCCCTGGGCAAATAAAATGTTCATTTTAGAAGAAAATGAATAGCTGAAGCGAACGTTCTGAGATGGCGCCTGCTCTCGCAGAAGATGTGGGAGTTATTAGGTCATTGATTTAGCAAAAAGGCAATCTCTCCATCTGCTCTATTCCACATTTAAGGGAGTCTTATTAGTTTACAGGAGATAGAAAATAAAACAAAAGATCACTCTCAGCTTAATCCTCTCCATAAAAATATTTTGATTCCAAAACAGTTCCTAGGGACACAATCAAGGCTGCTGACTTTTTAACTGAAATAGGTGAAAATAATTCAATGCTACAAAATGTTTCAGCTGTGTATCTATCTTACGGTTTTTATGATACTGTAGTACAGGTAGCCCTCAATTTACGGCCGCTCGCTTAGTGACTGAAGTTTCAATGGCGCTGAAAAAAGTGACTTATGACCATTTTTCAAACTTATGACCATTGTGGCATCCCTATGGTCACATGAGCAAAATTCAGACGCTTAGTGACTGACTTATATTTATGACGGTTGCAGTGTCTCGGGGTCATGTGATCCCCTTTTGTGACCTTTAGACCAGCAAAGTCAATGGGGAAGGCAGAGTCACTTAACAACTGTGTTACTAAGTTAACAAACTGCAGTGTTACACTTACCAGCTCGTAAAATGGGGCAAAATTCACTTAACAACTGTCTGACTTAGCAATGGGAACTTTGGCCTCAGTGGTGGTCGTAAGTCAAGGACTACCTATATCTGTTTTGTCTCTCTTTCAGGTATTTAAAAGTTAAGTAGAGAAAATCAAATCATTTCTATTTGCTTAGCTCAAAAGTAATTTGAATAGAATAGAATAGAATAGAATAGAATAGAATAGAATAGAATAGAATAGAACTGGAAGGGACCTTGGAGGTCTTCTAGTTCAGCCCCCTACTCAAGCAGGAGAACCTATACCATTTCAGACAAGTGACTGTTAGTCTCTTCTTAAAAACCTCCAGTGATGAAGCACCCACGATCTCTGGAGGCCAGCTGTTCCACTGGTTAATTGTCCTCACTGTTAGGAAGTTTCTCCTTAATTCCAGGTTGCTTCTCTCTTTGGTCAGTTTCCAACCATTGTTTCTTGTCCTGCTCTCTGGTGCTTTGGAGAATAGTTTGATGCCCTCTTCTCTGTGGCAGCCCCTCAAATACTGGAATATTGCTATCATGATCCCCCTAGTCCTTATTTTCTTTAGACTAGCCGTACCCAGTTCCTGCAACCATTCTTCCTATGTTTTAGACTCCAGGCCTTTAATCAATTAGTTACTCTTCTCTGAACTTTTTCTAAAATCTCAACATCTTTTTTGTATATGGTGACGCAAATTGGTTGCAGTATTCCAGGTGTGGTCTTACTAGGGTTTTACAAAGTGGTACTAATACTTGGCATGATCTTGATTCTATGCCTCTGTTTATACGTATAACCCAGGATTGTATTAGCTATTTTGGCTGCTTTTTTGAAGAGTTTGATATTATTATTGTTATGGTTTGTTGTACAGTCAGCCAGATGTTTAGATTGCTTTTGGCACTTTTATCCACGTATTGAATCCTTCCCAAAAAACTGAGATAGGCAGAAGTTGTTCAGTAATATTAAAGGTATCATTGCAGCACGCAAGCTGTTTCACGGGAAAGCTACCTTTTGCAATTGACTGATGATTTTGTCAGTGCCAATAGTGTTCAAATAGTAAACCAGATGTTTTGAGATTGTACCTAAGGGGCAAGGTACTGCCATGTCCGCTATCCAGATATTTTTTTATTTTTCTTATTGACTATTATTATTTACCATTTAAAGAATTTATATACATTCAAATTGTACAGTGTGATTCAGTAGCTTTCAGTTACCGGGTGGGAGAGGAAATCAACAATCAGCAATAAACAGTAATAATAATAGGAAAGCTGGGTCACATTCATACTCTTTTCCAGTCAGAATGTACCGTACGTACCTTGGCCCTAGTGGAAAGAACCATGTTTTTAAAGCTTTCAAATGCTAACAAGGTTGGGGCTAACTGAATATTGGGAGGAAGATGGCTGCATAGAGCGTGTTCTGTTACAGAAAAGTTATGGCAGCTGGGTCCCATCAGGTGACAATGTTTCAAGGAAAAAATCCAGAAAGCGGTGACTTGATTAGAATGAGTGGGGCAGTCAAATGTTGTTTAGGAGAGATAGTCCTGTAAATAACTTAGTCCTGTGCCATGTTATGATAGATAATGAACAGACAAAACTGGCACGCAAGACGACGCAGGTCCTCAACTTACAACAGTTCATTTAGTGACCATTCAAAGTTACAATATTAGTGAAAAAAGTGACTTATGACCATTTTTCACACTTACAACGTTGCAACATCCCTATAGTCACGTGATCAAAATTCAAGACAGTTTAATACTGACTCATGATGGTTGCAGCATCCTGGGATCGCGTGGTCACCTTTTGCAACCTTCTGACAAGCAAAGTTAATGGGGAAACCAGATTCATTTAAGAATCATATTACTAACTAAACAGCTGCAGCAATTCACTTAACAACTGTGGCAAGAAAAGTTGTAAAATGGGGCAAAACTCACTTAACAAATGTTTTGCTTATCAACATAAATTTTGGGCTCAGTTGTGGTTGTATGTCAAGGACTACTTGTATCATACAAGGGCCTCCTGGCTACAACTGCCACCTGGTTATTGAGCAGGAGCTATGAATCCAAGAGGACTCCAGATTTCACACTGTCACAGTAGGAAAGACCAGCTCTACTGAAGCCAAAGATGTAAAATTTCCTCTTCTGGGATCCAATATCTAAGTCATTTTGATAGCTTAGACACAAAAGGCTAAACATCACAAAATTGTTGCCTGCAGTTGAGGAAGTTTGTTTTTCTCTGAGGTAAGAGCATTAGATCTATACAGAGCATTAGCTATGATAAAGTTGTTTGTTTAAAAAGGAAGGGATTTTATTTGGTTTTATGATGTGATTAAGAATTTCCATTTGCCGTTCTTAGGCAGGTCTAACAGGTGAGTGTTTGCATCAGAAATTTCTTATTATTTCCATTGAGTACTTGCATCATATGCATCGTTAGGAAAAAAATAAAACTCCTAAAACACTTATTTGTTGCTCAGTCATTTAGTTGCTTTTTACTCTTTGTGCTGGACATCATTTTACTAGGATGGTCTGTTGAATATATTTAATTCTCTTAAGTTTTGTAAATATCCCTTGTCCTTCCTATTTAATTGTTCTCAGATTTTTTGTACTGTGTATTTCTGCCTTCAGTTATTTTCATTGCATAGCAGACAACTATTTTTGCATTTCTGAATATATTTTTTTGCTTCACCATTAATAATCTCATGGCTTTTTTCAGGCACTCTAGTTACCAAACCTAATCCATTAAATTTATTCTTTACATTCATCACAATATCAAAATAAATAATTTGACATATTGGTCAGATGTTTTATTTGTTTTCTTTGGTTTAAGATACAACTCTGCAACAAGAAGTTTGTGATCTGAGCCATAGTCAGCACCAGAATGTGTTCTTGTTGACAGCATGAAATTTCTTTAGTTTTGCCTTTAGAATATTTTGTCAGTTTGATTTCAGACTTGGCCATCTGTAGAATTATGTTTTAGGTTCTTGGAATAAGGCATGTGCTATAAGCATTTAATTTTCTTAGCAAAAACTATCTGTCTCTTTCATTCATACATGACCAAAATTTCCTGTCATTCCAGATGCTATTTCCAGCTTTAGTATCTCAGATTCCTATACTGTAGTTACAATTATGCCTTTTTTAAAATATGGCATAGGAAATTGCCATAGAACTCTTCAATTTCCACTTCCACTGCATCTTGGTTTAAAGTATATTTGGTTTATCATTAGATAATTGATTTACCTTTGACTCAGATTAAGATCCTCTCTGGGGGAAGGGTTGTATCCAAGCACTGACTTAAGACACCATTTTGTTAATAATAGCTGGCCTTATTTCTTCAATGAGATTTTAATCCACAATTGAAGATCTAATGCTTTTCTGATGTGAAGTGACCTATTCCAGTCCATTTCAGTTTGTTGATTTCCAGAATTCAGTCTTGACATTTCTGTTCTGACATCAACTTTGCCTTAGTTCATGGTCTGACATTCCATGAACCAATGGTAGACATATCTTTGAAAATTCAACCTTTCCTTTTGCTTCTGGGCAGCAGCTGGACTTCCTTTTGGCTTTAATTCAACCAGGTAAAAAGCAACAGTGCTCTCGCTCTTGCCCAGTAGCTTGTTTCATACCTTCCAAGCTTCAAAATCGTGTTGATGCTGTCTTGGTTGTGGACATCCACTTGGTTTTCTTGGCAGAACACTGGAATAGACTGCTGTTTCTTTCTCCAGTGGGCTGTATTTAGTCAGAACCCTCATCTACGATATGCCTGTCATGGATGACATTTCTGGGAATATATACTATAGTATATAGTAACATCATTAGGAAATGCAAGCTGTTTCATTACTACAAGGTCAAGATCCATGAAAAAATAATGTTTCACTGCAAATTGATGCTGCATCCCAAGTAGAGCAAGGCTTGAACCTAAATAGTCCAATGGGCAATGAATTCTGATGAATTCTCTCTATTGGATAGGGCATTAGAAAGTAGAAAATGGGAAAAAGCAAAGAAATTCCAGAAACTAGGATCAAATCAAATACCTTTATTGTGATCTTTGACCAGCTTTTACAGTAAAAAAGAGAAATAGATTGATACAACAATTCATTATTGAGGGAGGGAAACAATAGGGACAATCAAATGATATATCTAATTAAAGGTTTTGCATAGTTACATGACGGTGAAGGTATCTGACTACCTGATATGTGAGTGTGGGTCTAGCATCCCTTAAAAAGTAATAAACATAAAATTTATCAGTGTTACCTTCAAATTTGGAGATGACTGGGGAGATCATAGCACATCTTGTGACATGATAAAAAGGACACTCTATGAGGACATGAGCAAGAGTTTTGATCTCCTTGTATCCACAAAGACAATATGTTTGCAAATAAGGAATCCCGAGCAACCTTCCTACCAGTAGAGCTGGTGAGAGGGCCAGAAATTAGGATAAATGGTTCAGTTATAAGGTTTGAGTTCAAGGTGTATCCAGATATTGAAAGTACTTAACTTTGACTAATACATTCAATCAGTGCGTAGATATGGAAGGTTCTTATCAGTGCCAACAGTCTTATCTGTAGAAATGCCCTTTTTTTTAATCAGGGAACAGAGGGCCTCTGTGCCAGTTTTTTGGAAAACATGATTCGTTGACTGTTTTCTAACGGGTAGTGGTTGGTTTAATTTTATACTAATTTTGCTGAGCCTCCCTAAATTTTAAAGTTGATCTTTTTTGTTCATCTGCTGCATAATGTCAAGTTTATTGTTTTAGGACAATCTCTTGCTGTACCAGTTGGGAATTTTGAGAGTTAAGTTCGTCCTAAGGAGCTTGGAGGTTAGCATGTAAAAGAGTGATCAGGACATACTGGTAGATACTAAATTATTGTCATTTGCAGATTGTTGAAGAAAGCGAGGAGAGGCTTACAGAAGAGCAAATTGAATCCCTTCTCCAGACAGTCACCAGCATGCTTCCTGGAGACCCAGAACAAGAGCAGGAGCAGCAACCTATGGTTGCAGAAGAGGAGGGCAGCCAAACATAGGAGGACTGTAAGCGACTTGAACTGTAGGAGATCCCCTTCCCCATTTTAGCATCAGGCAAGCGTTGGCCAAACTCTTCATTTGCTATGAGAATCTGCAGATTTCCCACTGTTTCCATGATGATTACGCAGTGTTGTCACTATATGTTTTTCAGTTGTTTGTACACCAAAGGAGCATTATTATTTACAGTATAAACTTTTAAAGGAAAAATAATCACTCTTATTTTTATGTTTTGTGTATTGTAAGTGCAACATGAATCGAAATTCATCCCAGGGCAAATGCTACCGTTGGCTTCACAATTTTCATGCTTATCTACTATAATATGAATCTGAGTTCATCCCAAGGCAGATGCTGCAATTGGCTTCACAATTTTCATGCTTATCTATCTGGAAAGTTTACACATCAATAGCACAGACATTGGCATCATGGACTTGTTCATTTATTACATAACATGCATTCCAATTTTCATAATATTACTAAAGGGTATCACATATAAAGTAATAGATCATTAATAGGTTAACAGTAGGCTGCCCATTATGGTTGTATGTCATAACAGTTGCAAAATCAGCTGTCAACAACCGACCCAATTTTATGACCCTCTTACAACAGTTTTTAAGCAAAAAACTACAGTCATTACGTAAATGTGTGGTCATTAAATTAATGTGGTAATTAAGTAAATCAATTGTTCACTATGGGCGTGGTTTTGTCAAAAAGTAGAAGTGACAGTTTTGGGTAAAACTGGTCATGTGATCAAAGGATGCTGCAAATGGCCATAAATAAGGCCATATTGCCAAAGTTGTCATTTGACCAGAGAGGGAGCCCAACCATTGGAACTTTCAGTTTGGGTCGTTAAGTCCTCTTTTCAGGTTGGTCATAATTTTGAATGGTTGCTAAACAACCTGTTGTAAGTCAAGGACTACCTGTATGTTTTTCTTTCCTTTGTTTCTCAGCTGAAGCCTTCACTCTTTGTTGGGTGGACTCACACTTAATTCTTAGCCATAAGAATTGTCTACTATCCTTTTGGGAGATGTAAACATTGTCTGGGATCAATTTGTTGGGCAAAAACAGCCAATTGCTAAGAGAACCTAAAGGCATATTGTTTAGTCAGGGCCACTCTGTGTTCCTCCCTTCCTTTCATTGTTCTACCTCCAAACCTCTGTCTGATAGCCTTGCATCTTCCTAATATTTGGGAGACTGAAAGAATCCAGTAACCAGTGGCAGAGGATTGAAGGAACCGTAATCTAAAAACATCTGGAGAACATCAAATAGCTTTGCCATGTTGTTTCTGAGTGTCCTTTTCCCTTAGGTTTTTCAAATTCTGGATTCTTTGCTTGCTTGAACATATCAACAGGCCTAAAGAACAAGGGAACTGTTTACACTGCTTTTATTTTATGTACATATAAATACAATGGGAGTGTTTGGCCAATCCTTCCAATGCAGTGCTGAGCAGCTACTTAAATCCTCTGTATTAGTAAACCATCAGCTTTTTGGAACATGTGTGTTTTAAGTTTGTAAAAAGTATACAAAGAAAGAAACACATAGGAAAAACAAGCAGAAGTGTGTTTTAGTTTGAGATATGTATTCTTTTTTTTATTTCGGCAACACTTTCAGGTGCTGAAACTCCTTAACAGGAAACTGGACACTGAATGATTACAGCCATAGGCAAACAAATCCATAAAGCAACTCGGTCCTTGTTCAAAGTTCCTATTTGCTCTTCTGCAGATATGCCAGAAAGTGAAGAGATTTGAACATAAGGAGTCCTCTCCTTGCTTCCTGCTCTGGTAGCCTGGAAACATATGCATATGCATATGGGGAAGAGTGTCCTGAAATCGTCAGTTCAGGGCTTCAGATCCAAAGAGACTGCATGGTTTGTTAATAAATTTAAATTGGGCAGATTCAAACAACACACGCACAATGACTTGATTGACATATCTTGCTAAGAGGCAGTGGGAGGTACATGAAACCCTTGAGTCCACCTCTGACCACAGTAGCCAGAAGTAAGTGGTGTGGTTAGCCATTTTGAGTCAAGACAAATAAAACCATTGTAAATCCTGATTTAGGGGTATCCATTGGGGTGGGGGGTTGTTTAAAAAGTCAAAAGAGGTCAGCCAAGACTGTATATTTGATGTTCTGCCCCTTGCATGCTTGCTTTGATTATATTGTCTTGCCGTCACCTTGACTTTTAATTTTTTAAGAAAATATTCTTGGCCCTAAACATACTTAAAAAGCTCTGCCACTCAAACAGCATTGAAAATCACAACCCTACCCACATTTGTGATATGGCCCCTATCCACTTTGCCACCATCCCACAGATGTTAAATCTGTTCAATACATTGCACATAACAGCCTCCAGAAGTTGTGAATGCACTAACACTGGAAGTTTTTAAGAAGAGATTGGACAACCATTTGTCTGAAAGGTACAGGTTTCCTGCCTGAGCGGGGGTTGGACTAGAAGACCTCCAAGGTCCCTTCCAACTACTATTCCTATTCCTATTTCTATTCTATTCTATTCTATTCTATTCTATTCTATTCTATTCTATTCTATTCTATTCTCTAGAAACCATAGTTGTTGACTGAATTTAAACACAATATGCTAATCCAAAATCAAACAAAAACGTAAGTGTTTATGTGAACTTAACTTGTTTCACTAAATAACAATAATCCTTGAAAGTAGATGATTCCATTGAATCTGAACTAAGAGTGGCTGAACCCTGTCATCAAACACCGAATACAAGGATTGATAGGGGCTATGAAGGTCACCAAATCCAGCCCTCTGCCCAGTGAGAAATGTATTAATAGCAATCCTAACAGATAAACATCAAATATGCAATGAATATTTTCCTTATGTCCAACCAAGATCTATTGATAATGTTGATAACTAACCATTGTGTTTTCTTTGGCTCAATGTGCAAACAGCCTGTTTGGTATGAATGAATAACGTTTCAATAGAAGGAGATTATCTATAGCTCAGAGTTGAACTGCAGCATTCTTGATGCTCTCTGTGCTTGGTTGTTTGTTTGCAGATGTTTCATTACGTAATCCTGGCTACACTTCAACCATCATAAATACGTATTAGTTGTCAAGTGCCCAAATTTTGATCACATGGCCATAAGGTTGCTGTGTCGGATGTAAGTACAAAGACAGGTTATAAATCACTTTTTTCAGAGCCATTGTAATTCAAACAATTGCTAAATGAATGGCTGCAAGTCAAAGATCACCTGTGTAGCTCACAAAACGTTATTATACTTTTTAATACAAATCTGCTAGTTACAAAAGTTGCTATGTGGGATCCTGATTTTTTTTTCCCATTGTGGCTCCTAAGATACTTTACCAACTCAACCAGTTGAGGTTAAATCAATAACATATAAGCATTTATAAATTAGATTTATATCCTCATTGAATGAGTCAGGACCAATTACTTCCTCTAGTTCACAAGCTTGTTGGGAAAATGTTGAAGAAGTGTACGTTGCCTTGAGCTCCTGAAACAAAAAAAAAGTGATATAAGCAAGTAAATTACTGTACAAAAATCCTAGTTACGTAATTAGCATTTGTGAGATAGGCTGGGCTTGAAATAGCGATTGGCCTAAAATCACTCTGAGCTTCCATGGCTAAAGATGGACTTTCCCCATATACGTAATAACCACTGTACCATATTGGCTCTCTTTTAAAGCAATACTCATTTAACATCATCTGTGAACCAACCCACTTGTTTTTAAGAATCTTGGCTGAAAGTCTTATATTTCAAACAAATTTTTCCCTACACAAAAAGGCCACCTCTGTCAAACAGACATCAGTTCCCATGACTAATGGCTTTAACACTGGTTTACATCAGAGTTCAGATTGGCAAAATTCTTTACATCTTTAGGGATGGCATTTATGTTCTCCCCTCATAAACATCTGAAAAACCAGTTGGCTCTGTTTTCTAATCTATTTGATTTCTTTTCTTTCTCTTTATTCATACTTTATTTTCATAAACCAATAATAAGCTTTTGGGATGTACTTGGATGCTTTTAAATGTTAATATTTAATTGTGGCAAGTGCTTGTCAAGTAAACCTTATTGTTATATTTCGTATAAACTAGGATACCAAGTGTTACACTTAAGAACTTGGAAGTGATTAACTGCTAAGCCTAGTGGATGTTTACTTAGAAATTTATCATTGTGTGCAATGAAACTTCTGCCAAGTCAATATTGTTTTGCACCATTTGATATTTATTTGGGGCAAAAAAATTATTCAAAGTTCCCAGAGCATAACACAGCACATGACAGAGTAATCTAAACAGTATGGGGAAAAAATAATATACCATATGTATTCATGAATAAGCCCATCCACAGATAAGCCAATCCTCAAATTTTAATAAAAATACCATGAAAAAATATGCCACATACAGATAAGCCAGTTATGAAGATTAAAATGTATAAAATTTTGAGGGTCATCTTATTTATGGATAGGCTTATCCGTGAGTATATACAGGTACTTTTAAAAAGTCTTCTATATTCACAGAAACCTCACGATCTACATGGAAACCCCTTTTGCAATTTTTAGCCAATAAAGAGAAAAAGTTTGATTTTGGGATTTGATATTTTTTGATTATGGAGATATGTATTTGTCTAATCTGAAAGCAGAGGATGTTCTATTATAAATTTTTTATTATAGAAATATCTAGCAATATGTGTATTTTTAGAGTTGATAATATGATGCACTTATGAATTATGTTTTATCAGATTAAGAGATTATTATATACTGTTACTGTTATTTGATTGATATGTATATCTTTATATATTTAGTTTTATATCTTTTTTCTTTTGTTGAACTAAAACAAGAGTATATTTTATTTTATAACTGTATCCATATTGAAAAAGTTGGAAGTTTAACATGTTGTTATTCTTTGTTTTCTTATGTGACTTTTTAAATATTCCCTGTTGTTCCCCTCTCCCACCTTTCCTCTCTTGTTGTAATTTTCTATTTTAACCTTTCATTTTTTGAAATTTATTAAACTTTTTAAACAAAAAAGAAATCTCATAGCTGAAATTGAAACACAAATTATTAGTAGCAAAATCATTAAAAGCTTGCAAAAATTCTTAAAATGACTCCTAGGAAATTCTTAGGAATTCCAAAAATAAGATGTCGATTGTTAAAAAGTAACATTTTAAAACTACTTTTAAATTATTACATTGTATTATGATAACTACAGTGATCCGCTACA